CACACATTAACAAGCATGTCACACGTTGGACCATTCACGTAGTCCCAACAAACTCAATATGGTGCCACAACCCACGATTCCTTCACAAACATGTGGGGCGCCTCGGTGCCCACACACCTTTCCTCTCACCCCCCCCTGTGGTGGGTTGGGGGTGATTTAACAAGCTCCGCAGCCCTAATATAGTTATAAGCAAAAGACTTTAATTCTGTAAGTTGAATACGGAAAATAGTAATACCGAGGTTAAAACAATGCTCTGTCGCGTACAACTTTTAAACAAGCGTTGCCCGGCCGACCGTGTTATATCTGATCACGTCTGATGGCGAATACATGATACAACAATTCCGATCCGGCGCGCGGTCATTGAGGTAAGGTAATACTATTGCGATATTATGGCCATAGCATAAATTGCAATCTCAAATGTCTGCAAAGTAGTAGACCACAAAGTATATTGACAGAAACAAGGCGTAGGCCATTGGAAACAACTTTCTGCAGTGCCGGTCAATATCACACGGCTGTCGCTGATTCAATGACAGCCATGAGTCTCCTTTTGTAACGCCGGAACTGCGCTTTCTGGAAAACCAGGGTGGAAAATAGCGCGAAGAATCATGATTTTCGCTGTGGTCTCTTCTCTGAAAAAAAAAGGAGAGTAATAGATAATGAGAACTGCGATGCAGTGTTTTATATCGAGCACACGGTACATCAAAACAATTATTTAAGAAACTACACACAAGTTTCGTATTTTCTCAATCTTAAAGCACTTAAAAGTACTACGTAAACAAGGGATTTGAACAAATAAATTCACCATCTATTATTCTTTACACACCAAAATAAAGGCAGAATAACAAGTACCCAATAAGGTAAACAATTTAAGCAAAAAAAGTGGACTATTATCTGCAAATTGACTAAAAGCACGCTTTTCCTTCTTCTTCCTATCTAAAACACAGGAATATTCCCAAACCGTCACTTTAGTTCGCTTCGGAAGCTCTCGTAAACGATCGCCTCTCGTAAACTGCGACTGTCGTTTGGGTTAACGGTTTCACATTTATCAATTGTTGACAACTAAATCTTAGGTCTGAGTTTGGGTGCTCGCGTACGGGAGATTCGCTTGGGGAGGAGGGGGGAGGTTATTGGGTTAATTTTTGCTGGGTATACAAGCTCGCCTGTCAGAGCCTGTACCCTATCATAGTCCATTCCGCATCTTAGTCACTTTTGGGCAAATATGTAGTTTCCGCCATCCCAACTTTTATAGTAACTTTTCTATTCATATTCTACCAATCTATCTCACTGATACTTTTCACCTACAGTACAAGCATTCTGGTACATTTGCTAATCGTAAATATGAAGAACTGTCTTACCCAAAAATAAAGAAAATGTGCGACCCCACTTCTAGTAACTCTATTGAAAATGCGACCCCATCCAGCGGCACATCCCCATTAGCCACTTATAAGGAAGTACCCCCACCCCTCGGGCAGATTCGACTTAAAACAGATATCGAAACGTCGTAGTCGATCGTGGGTAGAGAAAAGCCAAGTTTTATGCGAACCAATACTAAATAAAAAATGAAGTGCTTAAGATTGGCATAGGAAAATACGAGTAGAAATGAACTAAAAGAATTTGCATCTTATGCCTGACGATTAAGATTCTTTCTGTCTCTTTAAGCTCCGTAGACCGAATGCCCGGGGGTACTCCTGGGAGTTCTTGGTGCTGGTAAACCGCCCAGTTCTCCAAATCCTGACCTTAGTTCAGACCAAAAAAGATGTCATTTTCCACACAGGAACTGGAGCCCTTGGTCTCCTGTCCACGCTCGTTTTTAGAGCTGGCCTCTAAGAAATTGTCTCATTATTACTTACAAAAGGACACCAACAAAAAGATTTCTTAAACTCCATTTCGACTTTCCATATTACACTTTCTTTCTTATTCATCTGGAATTGAAAGGACAAATATCTTCATACACTACACCAAGGAGTATACCCCCCCTCCCCCCGCAGGAACAGTATCTAGTAGGTTAGCCTACAGTTTTAACGATACGTAACATAACAGTGTCATTCTCGTTCATTTTTATGACAGAAGACTTAAACTAGTGATAACCAAAGGTTACGGAGTGCGAGCGACAACGATCAAAGCCGCAAAAGGCTTTTTCTCCAACGCTGGTGCTTTGCGTAGGTTTCACTTGACAGAGGGTGGAAGTTCGAAGCGCACGTGATCAAATTGCGCTCTGTGCATTCCATTCATTCTTAGTGGAAGTCCAAAAAAATGCTGGCTAAACAGATGCGACGCATGCGTAATAACAACCTGGAGATTAGGATTGCGGATTGCTCTGTAAAAGTACTGCTGTTCTCAAAGACACAGCAGGAGAACAAGGCAAATACTTGACCTGCAGCGGATAGAACTAATTATTAAGCGTGCTGCAACATTTAAAAGAAATATTTACCTGAATTTCACCTTGTTTTCTCGCCAAGTCTTGATTTGGCGTTTCGTTTTTGTCGCCAGCTATTTTCCCGTTCTTGTTCTCATCAAGTATTTCAGACGGGATCACTTTCACATGTGAGTGTTGCTTCAAGCTACCATCCGCCCTTGACGAATTTGCGTTCGATAATGTGCAGATGATGGCGTATTCTATGAGGGCGGAAAATACAAAGAAAAAACTACATAGTAGAAAGACGTCGATGGCTTTCACGTGACCAACTCTTGGCATAGAGGTTTGGATTCCAAACATAAGCGTTGTTAACGCGAGGACTGTCGTGATTCCGAGGGACACCCGAGCGGGCACCGATCTTTCATCGATCCAGAAACTAACCCAGCTGATTGCCACGATCAAAATGGTCGGAATGAATTCTTGAAGGAAGTAAGCAGCGAGTTGCCTTTTGAAATGCAAAACTGCTGCTAATGAAGTGAAATTCCCTAAGAATAATAACATAAAATCGGTAAATGTAACGTGTAATGATCATGTTTCAACTTTTTAAAGGCTCAATGTATAGATTTAGCCAGGGCTAAAAGCGAAACTCTCTTTAATATTTATAGTTTACTCAAAGAAAATATAAAATCGTGTAGTACTAAAGAGACGGTAAAACGAGGACGATAAAAAAAACAACAATAGATCTAATAAAGCGTTTTCACATGACGTCACGGCGGCCATATTGGTGTTCCAAAACAATGAAATGGCGGCCATGTTGGTGAGCCAAGACAAGCCTGTGACAGTTAAATTCTTTTCTTATGCAAACGTTTTCTTTTGTTCCAATAAATTTGCATAGAAGATGGCCACGTGGGTGAAAACGCTCTATTAGCAAAAAAAACCAACTTCGCACGTGCGGCACACGTTTTGCATATTTCCTCGCCATCAGTGTCCACAACTAAAACGTGAAACTTCTAGAAAATCCCTTCCTGTTCACTTTGGTTTTTCACTGCCGCTCATTTTCACCTTGGTGGCCGCTAGGATTTCTCATTTCTCACCGCCGGTATAAAATGTTCATGTTTTTCTTCCAACTAAATTGGTCTTAGTTTTATTTCTCGCTCTAGCTTTAATTTCTCCCTGTCATCCATGTTTAAAATATAGATTAAAATTTAGTCGAAAGAAAGACGTGTTTTTTTTCTCTCTCTTTCTCTCTCAAAGTCCGGGCGACCATGCGATTTACCGCCGAAACGATCGAGGTGCTTGAAATGCAAAATTTCACCTCAAAACGACCGGTCTTTCATCTGAGCCTGCGAGATGGCCATGTGATATTTGTCAGCGAACGCCTGATTTTGATAGCTATCAATTCATCTTCATACAGATGGCTTACATAACTGACAGGATAGTGTCAATTTGTGCAAGATCTTAGGTGACACTTGAAATCGGCTCACATGTAGTGTACGTAGGGGCGGGCGTAGGCAAACGTCATAACCAAATTTTCATTACCAAACTTTCCTAGCAATACATGGGGCTTCGCCTGGCGCGCAAGCAGCTCCGCTATGAAAATTTACTCGTAAAATTTTCCAAAAGGCGGCAAAATGCGAAGAACAATTTTGCAACTGGCAATATTCAAATTTCACCTGTTACATAATAAATCAAATAATTGTGTCACATAACCATAGTAACTCCTAGGAAGTATGACGAATGGGATGAAAACAAAAAACTACAATCATGGGCACGCGGCATAAGAGAATTAAAAAAAAAACTAAAAAAGCATGAAAAAAAGTAAAAACGTGCCTCATTGCCTTTCGGGCTGGAGTAATTACCTGTACTATATTTGTTAAGATCATGTTTTTGTTGCCAGGCAACCAGAGTATACTGAGGGATCTGCAACTTTCCATCTATTTGTAGAGCGTCTGGATTAAGCCAGGTGAGAATAATATCTTCAACAGCGTATGAATCTACGGCAATTGAAATAAAAACGTATACAGTCAACTGCCACTTATAAAGACCTCCCACGGTGATAAACACATCTACCCGTAAACGAAAAAGCCCACTCGGATATAACTCCCTCCGTTTATAAGCCCTCTCGGATATAAGCCCCTGTGTTTATAAGCCCCCTCGGATATAAATCCCTCCCTTTATAAGCCCCCTTGGATATAACCCCCTCCGTTTGTAAGGCCCCTTCGTTTATAAGCCCTCCTTAAACCACTTACGACGATGTATACGCCCGGGGCTTGTAACTATGGTGACGGTAGGTATTAACAGAACCAGTTAGAGTGAAGGGTGCTAATTGGGTTTAATTAATGTTCCACTGGACAAAGTAACGGTGTATTGAAGAAGACTCGCAACAATCGTATTTCTAGTGTTTCTTGGGATACTGTGACTCTACCTTTTGCCAAACTGTTTGAAATTTGCTTCATATAGATGTTTGAAGTATAAATACCGTGTAAACATACTTACAACTTTCAAATGCCATTTCACAAATTTGTTCATCCATTGGGAATTTCTGCAAATTCATAGGACAGTACAAACGAAGCGTTCTCCTGAATACGGTAAGGCAAAACATCAAGTTAAAAAAGTCTTCACGAATACTTATGAGTGTTGACGCTTTCACTAGCTGAGAAAATCCTAAAGACGAGAATTGCAGATCTGACGTTTGTGCCTGTGGCCAGTTAAACACGTGACAACTTAGTTTATAGGGAACTACGGCCAGGGATCTTGAACTGTGGCCTCAAGCCAAAAGTCAAGAGGGGAATGGCGAAGTACAATTAACAATAGAGGCCCTTCTTATCGCAAAAACCGAAAACAACAACTTCCTGTTAAAGAGAAAACTGATTTAACAAGTGATGTTTTTCTTTGACAGCTTTTGACGGTAGTAGATAGATAGAAATTCCTGTTACGACAATACAATAATGCAACACGAGCTAAGCACATGGATGACTAATGTCAAAAGCCACCATTCTCCGTTCAATTAGGTTTTACCAGGACAAAAAGGGTAAAGTAGAATGATTTTACAAGACCTGTAACTGTACGTTATTCGTCCCTTCTCAGTGAGTTCAAACAAAAAATCTTCATTCGACTTTGTGTCGCTCAAATCGTTCACAAAATATGTGTCTGGTAGCCAAACTTGATCAACAATGTTCCCAAGAAGCTTCATCTTTGGAATTCCCAGCGAAGGACCATACGCTAGACGAGGATCAGTCCAATGTTCACGGAAGAATATGACGGCCCTCGCTTCCTTTTATGAGAAAAGAGAAGGACAAATAAAATACTACCATCTGGAAATGACTCGCCAATTACAATCTGTTTCGATCTTGAAAACCCGCCGAAAATCCTCAGGGACAAATAAATGTCAATTCTTAAAAATAATGGGGTGAGGTCAAGCCAAAAAAGGTTCTCTTGGTAAGGAATATCTATAATCCGGTAAGAACACTATACAGGGGCACCTAACGACGGTTTTCTGTAAAATATCTGTTCGGAGAAGAAAATAATTATTGCCTAGATTTTTCTATTAATTGAGGACATCTAAAACATTTCTAGGAGACCTTTCTATTCATGTACAATTTTCGAAGCTTATCTAATAAATTCCCTACGATTTTTTGAAGTTTAGTTTTTCACATTTCACTCCCTAGGTTAGGCTATTATGAAAAAAAAATCGTAGAAAAAAGGAAACCTAAAATTTTCGGATTCAAAAATGTGATAGTAAGAGAGAGGAATCAGAAAAATTCTCACTTTCGAAATACGTTAAACTGCATCTAAAATTTTCGGGAAAATAAGACTGAGGCCCTTGTTATTTCGAAAAGACTCAAGCTTCCCTAGGATATCCAAACAGATACAAATTTTATAGCTCCTCTTAGAATGTATTTCTACAGATCTAAAAGAATTCTGGATAGCTTAAAAAGTGTTTTCAATGTATTTGGGAGGAAACCGCTGTTGCGTGTCCCTGACTATGGATGCCGCACATCACAAAGTACCATATTCCAGCGGGAGCTGGCATAAAGAAGGAAGTGTATAACGTTTAAGTGTGGTGTATATGATTCCCTTACCATGTCGATCTCTCTTATCGGGACCAGTGAAAGCACGTGCATGGAAATTTTTATTTCACTTGGAGAACCTGTGAATGAAGCAACTAAATAAGTTTACTCACTAGCATAGGCGTATTTTGATCAGTGGTCAACTTTAATACAAACATGGCTGTAACGTGACTTGTAGTGCACTAAAGCGGGTGGATCTACTGTGAGTCACTGTGAGTCAATGACAATCATGGGCTAACTGTGACCTGAGGTCCAGACAAACATGCTTTTACTGCGACCTTGGGCTAACATGCGAACTTCATTGTTGGTTTACTATACTGTGCCTTGTGATCCACTTACGAACTTAGGTTGACCATGGCCTTTGGCTCTTTCAGGGGCATCCAACATCAATGTTCGGAAAATATCTGTTCGCTCAGAAGACGATTTGAGATCTAGAATTTTCGGAACATTTGTTGTAAAATTTCTTGCTTGCCTGCCTCTCCTAGGATTTTCGAACATCTAAAAAATGGAATAATTGCCCATTTTTAACGGATTTTTACCCTAAAAAGGTCACCTAGAATTTTCAGGAGCCTTTTTTCTAGCTGAAGTTTTCGAAAAAGTAAGTTTTGATTCCTATAATTTTCGGATCACTAGACTTTCAGCTAGGAAATCCGAACAGATGAAAAATTTTTAGGGATAAAAATAGACATATATCTACCGTTTAAATACTAAAATACGTTTAACAATGCTATGTTTAAGTAGTTTTGAACTATATTCTCGTTGGGTGCCCCTGCACTTTAAAGGTGCGTGGGCTTATTGTAGCCCGGCTGTCATTCACTTACGATCATGGCGGGCATGAATCATTTCAACATGTTGCCAGTTACACGAGGTAACCTTCCAACGACTATAGCCTCGTCCCCAGTGCTCCTCCTTTAGATAATGGGAAAAGTCTTGGTGACGAGGTTGCGTCAGTAGGCCGGTTTCGAATACTCTAGGATCGGCTCACGAATACACACAATATCACTGATATTTACCTGCAAAGTTTGGCCTCAGTCTCTTGTCGTAACCATTAAGCATCTGTTCCAACATCGTCGAAGTACGGGTACTGGCTTCCAAAGAAGTCTTGTTTACATCGTTCCTGACAAAAAAAAGTCCCTTTTTAATATTTTTCGACATCTCCCATTTGTTTAGAAGTGCTTAGATCATTATTAAACCCTGTTAAGTGGACCTAAATTACAAAAGATAGTTTTTACATTTTATGTTCATGACGTGATCTTTAAAAGATGTCGTGGATATACGGCAAAACGGAGCAGAATATCTTGTCGAGAGGTTTTATCACCTTTTTCCATTATAACCTGTTCTTTTTCGTCATAAGAATTGTTAGAAAATGGAATTACTGAAAATCTTTAGTACTTCAACGGTGAGGTGATCACAGGTTGCGACCCGGACGAGATGAAACTGTACGGTGGACAGGGCCGAAGATACTTTCGAAAAAATTCCGTATAAGCAGTTTCCCAACTTTTTCCTGATATCTAGTGGTTTTCTTATAACTCGTAAAAAAAGACCGGCACTCAGAGATAGATATTATGGTATGGAAACTAAGACAGAAAATCCTTTAAAACTTTTTTTTTGCCAGTTCCAAATACTATGCTGCAAATACACCATCAGCTTTTCCAAATCGCGTGTCAAGGAATGACCTTCTTACTGCATGACCGAGCACTAACTATACCATTTTAAATTGAAGGTCCCAGATGTCCGTAATTACTCCTTCACTACTAGGTGTGCGCTAAAGCAAACAATTAGATCAGTTAAAGAAAATTTCTTCACATTATTAAGATACGCTTTTAAATCTCTGATTGCACTTCTATGCGTTCAAGGTGACAAAATGAGTAAATGTTTTACGATCTCAAGCCCAATCACGGCCAATATTTGGAGTTCGGAAACAAAAGATGATTAGAACTTAAGGAACTATTCCCTATACAGTAGTTCCTTTTCATAATGAAAACCAACCACCGCCACTTCACCCATTGTGGATTGAGTTTAAAAAAAGTAAGAGATCGGCATTTGCTGAGTATTTTCACACAGAAAGAATATGATTTTGCAGGGGCGGATCCAGGATTTTTTTTAGTAGGGGGTGCACTCGTCTCTTGCTCTACTTTAACACCAATAAACCACATAGTTTTTTTTTGGCAGAATACCAGTTGTATTAGAAAACCGCGGGTCATCTCGGGGGGGGGGGGGGGGGGCCCCCCCCCCCCCCCCCCCCCCTATTTCCCCCCGTTTTTAAATTTTTTTTTGGGCCCCCCCCTAAAACCAAACCTTTTTAACCTTTTAAAAAAAAAAATCAAAAATATTCAAAAATAAACAAATTTTGGGCCCCACAAAAAATTTTTAAACATAAAAACTCACATTTTTT